TTCTTGGAGTTCATTCCCTAAGGTGGTTCTTAATAAGATCATTTTTTGTCAATATTTTTTGCTTAGGTTTCTTTTTATTGGGAGTGTTGTCAAAAGAATGGAATTCAACAGGCAGAGTGATGGATACCTGTAATCCCAGATACTTGAGAGGACCATCAGTTTGAGGACAGCCTGGGCAATTTAGGGAGACACTGTCTTAAAATAAGATTAAAAAGGGCTAGGGATATAGCTCAGTATTAGAACCTTTGCCTGGAAAGGTCTAGGCCCTGGGTTCAAACCCTACTATCACAAAACAAACAGCAGAGAGCCACTTTTTAAATTTTTTTTTATTAACACATTATAGTTACACATAACTGTAGGTTTCATTTTGACATGTTCATATGTGTATATAATATTATTTGCACCATTCCTATCCCCAGTGTTTTTTTCGCCTTTCCCTCCCTTTTGACCTGCATTCTGATCCCCTTTCTCTAACCTATTAGTCTTCTGTTAATTTGTTGCTTTTTTAATAGGTGCATTATAGATATACGTAAAAGTGGAATTCATTATGATAGATTCACATATGCACATAGCATAGTTTGGTTAATTTAAATCTGTAGTGTTTCTGCATATGAGAGAAAACATGACTCTTTGAGTCTAGCATGATGTTCTCCAGTTTCATTCATTTACTGTCAGATGCTTTGATGTCATTCTTCTTTATGGCTGGGGTAAAACCCCATTGTGTTATATGTCTCATTTTCTTTATTTTTTTTGTCTGTTTCTGGAGCACCTGGGCTGGTTCCTTAACTTGGGTATTTTGAATTGCACTGCTATAAACATTGGTGTGCATATATCACCATACTATGCTGATTTTAGTACTTTTGAATAAATACCAAGTGGGATATCTAGGTTGTATGGTTGTTTCATTTTCAGTGTTGAGGAATTTCCATATTGCTTCCCACGTGGTTATACCTATTTGCAGTCCCACTAACCTTTTCCCTCATATCCTTGCCAGCATTTTAAAAAATTTGTATTATTTTTTTGTTTGTGATATTGGGGATGGAACCCAGGGGTGTTCTACCCTGGGCTACATGCCCAGCTCTTTTAAGAAGCTTAATTAAAAAAAAAAAAAAAAAAAAAGGTTGACAACAGGGTCTTGCTTAATTGCTGAGATGAGCCTTGAACTTGTGATTGTTCTGCATCTCGAGTTGTTAGGATTGCAAACATGCATCAGACGCCTAACTTTATATTTGTATTCTTGATGATTGCCATTCTAACTGGTGTGAGATGAAATTTAAGATTGCATTTTCCTGATTGCTAAGGATGTTGAGCATTTTTTTCATATATCTGTTGGCCATTTTGTTTCTACTTTAAAAAAAAATGTCTGTTTAATTCATTTGCCCATTTAGTGATTGGGTTATTTATGTTTTGGGTGTTAATTTTTTGCAAACTTTTTTTTTTTTTTTTTTTTTTTTTTTTTTTTTGTGCTGGTGATTGAAGCCAGGGCCTTGTGCATGTGAGGCAAGCACTCTACCCACTGAGCTATATCCCCAGCTCAAGTTTTTTGCATTCTTTTTATATTCTGGATATTAATCCTTTGTTGGAAGAGTAGCTGGCAAAGATTTTCTCCCATTCTGGTGGTGGCTGTCTGATCTTACTTTTAATCATTTCCCTTGCTCTGCAGAAGCTTTTAAATTTGAAACCATGTCATTTATTGATTGGGAGTCTGATTAAGAAAGTTGGTGCCTGTACCCATATGTTGTAGTGTTGATCCTGTATTTTCTTCTAAAAGTTGCAGTTGTTTCTGGTCTTTTATCTGGTCTTTTATCTACTTTGACTTGATTTCTGTTCAGGGTGAGCAATAGGGATTTAGTTTTATTCTTCTATATATGGATAACCAGTTTTCCCATCACCATTTGTTGAAGGTTATCTCCAGTGTATATTTTTTACACCTTTGCCAAGAACCAGATGACTGTATCTAAGTGGTTCTTCTCTGTTTTATGTTCTGTTCCATAGGTCTACATGTCTGTCCTTTTTTTTTTTTTTGTAAATATTTTTTTTAGTTGTCAGTAGACTTTTATTTAGTTACATGTGGTACTGAGAATTGAACCCACTGCACACACATGCTAGGCAAGCGCTGTACCACTGAGCCACAACTCCAGCCCCTTTGTGTCTGTTTTTATGCCAATACTATGCTGTTTTTGTTATTATAGTTCTGTAGTATAATTCCAGATTAGGTATTGATGCCTCTGGCATTGTTCTTATTGCTTAGTATTGCTTTAGCTGTCCTTCAGTATGAGTTTTAGAAATTTTTTTCTAACTATGAAGAATGTCAGTAGTATTTTGAGGGGATTTGCATTGAATCTGTTGATTAAGTTTGGTAATATGGTCATTTTGATAATATTAAAATTCTACTTATCCAAGGACATGGAACATCTTTCCATCTTCTGATGTCATCTTTGATTTCTTTTTTTCTGTAGTTTTCATTACAAGATTCCTTGTTCAGATTTATTCCCAAGTATTTTATTTTTTTGAGGTTATTATGAATGGGATTGTTTTCCTTATTTCTTTCTCAGCAGAAAGATTCATAAAGAAAGGTGTTGACTTTTGTTTGTTGATTTTGTATCCTGCTAATTTGTTCAATTTGGTTATCAGCTCTAGAAGTCTTCTGGTGGAGATTTTTGGGTCTTATAGAATGTTGTCACTGGCAACAGGGATCATTTGACTAATTATTTTTATTGTTATCCCTTTAATTTCCTTGTCTTGCTTAATTGTTCTGGCTAGAGTTTCAAGAACTATACTGAATAGGAGTGGTGAGAGAGGACATGCTTGTCTTGTTCCTGATTTTAGAGGAAATTATTGTTTTTCTTTGTTCAGAATGATGTTGATTTTGGGTTTGTCATATATAGCCTTTATGATATTGAGGGAAGTTCCTTTATCTATAGTTTCTAAAGTGGTTTAAATGTGAATGGATGCTGAATTTTGTTGAAAACTTTTTTCTTTCTTTCTTTCTTTTTTTTTTTTTTTTTTTTTTTTTTTGATACCAGGAATTGAACTCAGGGGCACTTGACCCTTGAACCCCATCCCCAACCCTATTTTGTATTTTATTTAGAGATAGGGTCTCACTGAGTTCCTTAGTGCTTCACTGTTACTGTGGCTGGCCTGATCCTCCTGCCTCAGGCTCCAGAGCCACTGAGATTACAGGTGTGTGCCACCATGCCTGGCGAAGGCTTTTTCTTTTTTTAAAAATATTTTGTTTTTTAGTTGTAGTTGGACATAATACCTTTATTTTATTTTTATGTGGTGCTGAGGCTAGAAGCCAGCACCCCACAGGTGCTAGGCGAGCGCTGTACTGCTGAGCCACAACTTCAGCCCTCCCATCCTAGGCTATTTCTTTTCTTCTTAAATTTACTTTTGCATTACAATTCTTAATACACCATAATACCATAATTTATCATATCTCTGATTATATAAGGTATGTTGACACCAAATCCACAGGCTTTTTCTTTATCTATTGAAACAATCATGTGTTTTTTGTCCTTAATTACATTTATGTGGTGAATTACATTTATTGATTTGTATAAGTTAGACCAGTCCTGCATTTCTGGGATGAAAACAACTTGATCATGATGTACTGTCGTCTTAATGTGTTTTTGAATATGGATTGCCAATATTTTATTAAGGGTTTTTTAATAAACTTTTTTGGCATTATAAATTTCAGTGTGTCAAAATGTAAATCACACTTATTTCCAATTCATAGTAATTATATACTTCTGATTTTTTTCTGTTCTTTTGTGGCTTTAAAGACCATATCATACTAAAACATCTTGATTTTGTGGTTCATAGTACTAGTGAATACAAATAGGATTGATGTACACTGTATTTATGAAATTGCATTATGAAAGAAGGTGAAGACTTACAAGGACTGCCTATGTAAAATTATTTAATTCAGAAAAGTAAAACTCTTTTTTCTTCTCAAGGTTATAATGGATGCAACAAACTTGACAGTGTGATGCATCTGGCACTGTGTGGGGCTCCTAGAAGATAGATGGGAAAGATCATAGATAAATAGTCACTTTAAACTTTGAGTAATATAGATTGAACCTTTTATAATAAGTGAGAAAAAGTTTTTTAGTGAATGTTTTCTTAATCCATTGTTGTAGAGGTACATTTTCATGAAATGATGACCACGTGCTTATGAATGCAAACACAATGGCTCTTTATTTCAGTAAATCAGAATGGAAAAATTTCTTAATTTTTAGATTCTTTTTCTTTAACTTCACTCTATGGATTAATAGTCAAATAAGAGTTCATAAGTAATTTTTTGACCTATTTTAGTTGTTTAAATTGTGTGTACTTAGAGCATGTTCAAGATTTTGTTTTTATTCACATTTTTGCTGTTTATATAGACTGTGTATCTCTTTTCTTTTAAATAGCAATGATAGGAATTTGCTTGTGGAATGATATTAAAATTAAAACCAGTGTAGACTGAGAAAGTGTAGAAATTGAAATGTTGACTACAGAATAGATTATAAGGTTTTAGAAAAAATAATTAGGTTTTCAAGTATTATTTAATTGCTCTACTTGACTATAAAATGCTGTGACTTTGTACTTGGAAGCTTGTGATTGAGGAGCCAGAGAGTAGATGGGCTAGCACTCTTTATCCTGGCTTCCTATAAAGTGTATTAGGAACTAAAACAAAACAAAAACAAAAGGTCAGCAGTAATTCCTAATGTGAAAGAGTATGGGAATATTCTCACTTATATTTTGGTTGGAAGAGGTGTACTGCTTGCTTAAAAATACTACTTTTTTTAGTTTAGTATATTTCATATAAAATATTGTTTACTGACATTAACTGTCAGTTTTGTTACACATAGTGACACTTCTGATAATTAAAATTTCAATATTGAGCTTGGATCTAGAATCCTATGTTATTGGTTATTGTTTCTTCAGCGATTTTATTCCGTTATCCTCTGGCTTCTATTGCTGGCTAATGTGAGTCTAATTTTATTCCTTTATAGGTAATTTTTCCTGTGTTGCTTATAAGACTTGCTTTACACCTTTTGAATTATACAGTGTTACTACAGGTATGTAAAAAAACACTTTATTTATTCTGCCCAGATTTTGTTGTCCTTCTTGAATTGGAGATCCATAATGGCTAAGAATTTTCAACAATTTTTGAAAATTCTTAGCCATTTTCTGATCAGATATTCCCCTCCTTCTTTTCTCTCCTTGAATTCCCATTTGATTTATTGGACCTTCTTATTATATGCTTCTATTAAGGTTTCTTTCATATTTTCCCTATGTGTCCTTTTATGATGCATTGTCAGTTTTTGTCTGATCTGTCTTCCCATTTGATTATTCTTTAACTTTGCATAATTATCAGTTCTTTAGTTATAATTTATGGGTGCTTGTGTGTGTTGTGCATGTGTGTTTATGTATACACCCGTTTTGTTTTTTTTTCCCTTTTGGCAGAACTGGGGATTGAATTCAGGGCCTCATGAATGCTAGGCAGGTCTTCTACCACTAAGCTACATTCTCAACTCTTTCATTAATAATTTATTTTGAGACAGGGTTTCACTAAATTGCTAAGGCTTGTCTAGAAGTCAAGATTCTCCTGCCTTATCTTCCAAGTAGCTGAGATTACAAGGATTAGCCACCACACCCAGCACACATGATATCTAATTTACTTAGTTTCTACAAGTCTTTCTAATTTTTGTTGTGTTAATTGAGTGTTTTCTGATTTCTTTTACAGTTCTAATGATCGAGAAAATTAATAATTTTTCACTTTCTGTTGTCTGGAGTTCTTGGTGAAATATTCTGTTTGTTCTTTTTTTGATTGTAAGTTCACCTTCTACAAGAGTGTTTCTACAGATACTGTACTGTGCAGGCTAGACTGGATAGAAGGAATTTTTTTTTTTTTTTTTTTTCTGGAGGAATTTTGTTTTCTTCCTAAGAGTCTTAGGCTTTCATGACCTTTGAGTCATTTTTACATTAATATTTTTGGTAGGTGCGGGGAGTGGGTAGTCTGGATTACAAACTGTAAATGCAAATCTGGGAATCCATGATTATGCAAGTCTTAAAGGAAACTTTTTATTTGGCATTTGGAAATCTGCAGTCTTTGTGTCTTTTTTTTCCTCATTGTGTTAACATGGGGATTTACCCCACTTCAGTCTCTCCTTCACTGATTGTGGACCCCTTGCAAAGTCTCTGTTCTATGTAATTTGTATCAATTTCATTTCCTCAAGAAATTGCAGGCCAACATCCTCCTTTCTTAGCTTTAAATAGACATTAACAGTATTTGATCTTTCTCCTCCTGAAGACAGGACTTCCTTTAATTTTAGAAAGCGTGCCTCTCCCCCCCCCCCCCCCCCCCCCCCC